GCAGCTTTTTATGGGCAGTAGGAGAGTCTTGGAACAAATGTTTAAAAGGCAACGGGTGCCGAAGCGAGTGAGTTAAAGAGGGAACCATAAAGCGTAGCGGGGAGCGGAACAATATTGCAGCGGTGCACATGCTTGGTTGCTTTAGGTGTCCCTGGTTGCATATTCTTACCAATCCCCATCCCCCTTTCCACACTTCCTGAGTCACCCATGTAGCCTTATTTCTGCAGCTGCGGAGTCAACGACTTTATTCGCAAGGAAATAGTTCCACACTTAATCAAGAAAGGGCTTTCTGATTATCTATGTTCCTCTCAATGCCTTTGGAAAGACCATTATCGTCCTTCACTTGTGCCGGTACTCTTAGCTGTGCAGCCGCTCCTGTGAAATATTGTGGGTTTATCAAGGATTGAACCTATGTTCCAAATATGTGTTTTTCCGTTCCACTGACAATTGTTAGGGAAATTTGCCCCTGTTAGCACAATCAGTCAACCGATTTGGTTTCATATAAACCTCTCCAAATAGAAAGTTGGGAGGAGTGAAAGGAAACCCTCACGGCTCTCCTCGTGCACATGAATGGACAAGGCATCAGGCTATAGGCGTTGGTCATTTTTTCTGAATGCGCCATGCATTCTGCTTCCGTTCACATCTTCACTGACACTTATAACACGATCTCGCTTACAGAATAATTTGCGAGGGCCACCCAATAAGGAAGCCTGTTTTTTCCTCGACAAGTCTGTAGAAAGTGTCCAACCTAGAACGAATAGAAGGCTACTCAGCTTGGACGGCGCACGACCCAGGATTTGATCCGCGGGCCGTGCACGCAGTGAGCGACACCAGCCACTGCAACTTTCATCTATATGCGCTATATTACTGTAACTGTACTCGATATCCAGAGTTGGGGTAGGCGTGTCACCGGAAGTGACGTGCACTTGATAGAAGCTATGTGGATAAGCTGCTTCCAACATACATCGCTGGATATCAGCAAAGCATGCTGGCAACAGCTTATCCACGCAACTTCTATCAAGTGCACGTCACTTCCGGTGACACGCCTACCCCAACTTTCGGATATCGACTGTAGTTGTTCTTCCCACTACGAGCATATATTTCCATTTTTCTATTTCGAGAGCTAACTTATATTATTGATTTTCTAGAAGCTCAAATGTGAATGTAGTGGAATGTCATTGCTTAAGGTTGGTAATACTCCCCAATCGATAGAAAAGGAAAGCTATTTCCCTTGTTTACCCATTCACACTAAATACCAAATGCTAAATAACAATAGATGTTATCTGTTCGACGATGCTAAACAATCGAATTCCCAACACATTTGAAAGCCACACTATTCTACTGTGTTTATTGATTTTATCGAACAGTGTCCTAAACAATCGATTCAATACTTTAGGAGCAAAGCAGTTCAGGAGCAGGCTTCCATCAACCGCCGCCGCCACACAAATCCGCATCGTCAACATCACAGGTTTGTATAGGTCAATTGATTTGTGTCTTATTGTCGATTTATGAGACGGCTGAATTACGGTAGCTCTTGATCACTACAGTCCTGAGTATCCAATTACCTAGTTAATAGAGTGAGGTGTTTATCGAGTGAGGTGCCGCTTCGCCGCTCGCCAACACTGCCGCAACTACCGTAATCCTTCTGAGAAAAAGTCTTCGGCTTATTCACGGTTGTCATCGAAAATCAATAATTATTTTGATTCCCTTCAACGTGGCTTTTCTTTTCCCTACTGATGCCGTGGTCGTGCAGGAGCAGCACAGTTTTATCGTTTCTGAGCGCTGATGCCTTGATCGATAAGAGAGCTCTTCCCATCTCTGGCTAGACAGTCTGGGATATCTGCTCTGCGGTTCATCCCTGAGCTTCCATTTCAAAGACTCTTCATGTCTTTTCTCAATCAGAATTGAATATAAATAAGCGTGAAGCATCGAACGTTCATCGTCGATCCTCATTTGCGAGATGCTCCACGCCTTTTACCTCCATTAAGAATCCTAGTGGCGCGCTGAATACGATTTGGTGACTTGCGAGGGAGAGCCGAAGTAGCCGTCAGTGGTCTTTCCTTACAGACAAATCTAATACTAATTCACCAATCTGACACCCAGGAGGAATAGAATGTTTGGATTTCCCCGGACGGCATATCATTCAGGATTCGATCTCCTAAAAAAAGGCGCGAGCGTCGCCAATCGCCACCACACCACCCGCCCAGTTAGTTTTATTCATGAAATTGGTGGTGATTCGGTGCAAAGCAGAAGGTTCGAGCATTTTCTGTGTAAATCTTTGTATGTTTAGGGAGGCCAAGCGATGCATGCTTATTTTGGGTGAGTTCACCCAACTTCACATGGGGTATGAAGTCGAAATATGGCTAGGAAAATAGATGCGAGCATTCATTACCTATTTATTCAAGTAGACAGCTTACACATGAGATTCTCTTGAATATGCCGCGCTCGTGTCTTTCACTGAAAATTGTCGACATATTTCGATTGTTGGGAGAGTGCCAACAGTTGATCTAATCAGCCCTTTTGTATTGTCGTGTTATCGCCTTCCTTATTCATCTCCTAAAATCATCGATCAATCAATCCGTCATGGTTCATTTGAAGAATAGCTTTTTTCAGTCCCAAATTTTCCCAGATTTTTTTCAGCAGGATAGCAAACTAAAGTTTCCCGTAATTCTCAATAAGCAACAACTACAAACCAAGAGTTTTTCACAACAAGGCCCTACCAATTTCTATTGAAATCCCACTTTCAAGTCGAAGAAAACGTCCAAATCAAGAATTATACATTTAATATTTCGATGAAATAAGCTCAGAAAAGTGGGTGAGAGCTTATCGTCCTCATGAACTTATTTCCACGGGATTTACTTTCAAGTTGTCTTACCAATATGTACCATCCAGGTTTTTGATCTCTCATTTTTACCTCCTCCCTCACTCCTCACCTGGGACTCGGCAGGTAGGTTGCGAGTTAGTGAAAAGCTTTTCTGGGACTGCCCAACTCCGGGCCATTCGCAATTGGCCCCAGTAGCACGCTCGACGATTCGTCTCCGCAAAGGCCCAGGCCCAGTCCACCACGCAGAAGCAGAACACGCACTCCGGGTTAGTCTCATGTGTTAGTACGCCTCTAGTTAGTAAAAACAAGCAATAAAACATCACTAAATAATATCAATGCCGAGGGGTTCTGTTAAACGAGGAAGTTGGAAGTTGCATGAACACCGTCTCCTCGGGCCCAGAGTTCCCAAGTTCCTCTTTTTCTTTCTCACCGAACCACTCCCAAATGCGCTACTTGTCGGGAATAGCCTAAAACTCCCTGTAACTGTAACTAAATCTGTCAAAACACTCCTGAGTGCCAGCCGGACATGGCTCAACTACTTGTTAACTATTCGTTATCCAGTTTAGAATAGGCTGCCTACTCAGTACGGATTAACATTTTGGTATGCCTTTTTAAAAATGCGCTACCTTTCAGATAGAATGTCGGTTACGTGCCCACGCCCCGTACTGTGCGCTTCCCTATTTAGTCCTACACCCATGGTTAGCGTCACGTCATTACTTTGGCCAAAGCGACCTCCAAGAAACATTTTTCGTAACCGCAGGACGTCTCCACGTTGAAGAACCAATTTCGACAGAAGGGATGGATAGGGACCTCATAAAGGACAGGCTTGAAGTGCTCCTCGGTCCACCAGCCACTCCCTTTCTTTAAATTGTAACCGAGACAGCAGAAGAATCTCATTGTTGAGCGCTTCTTCCTGCGCTAATCTTTCTTTTATGCTGACGTTTTTTATACCTGAAAAACGGTCTACAGTAACCCGTCGAATTGTTCCTCTCACTGTTTTCGCGCTCGATCGAGGCGTCGGCGCACGACACACACCCACTAACTACTTCACTATACCTGACATATACACGTCTATTCTCCTACTAAGAATACATTACGTATTCAATTCACGCTACCGTAATCACTGACGGTGACGTCACACGCACTCACACGTACAGTATGCCTTGTACTTATCACGCGTTCTCTGTGATTCCGTTCATGTATGCGTGTGTGTGTTTTGAGCAGGGAGCCGTCTGTTCACAGTAAAGCTTACGCTATCCATCTGGCAATATCCATTAGCAGATTCCTATTGTGTTCAGGTAATCCTGCCTCCAGACTGCTTTCGCATCGTCATAATCCCTTCAGCGCTTTCAAAAAACCTCGAGGCTCACTTACAGTCACTTTGATTCTACTTGTCAACATCATCTCGTCGAGTTGTAGCTTCTTGGAAAGTCTTGCATGGGATTTTGACCCCTTCTTGTTCTAAATTCTATCAGAGGCGCTCAGCTCAGCTCATTCGGGATTCTCGAGGAGAGCTTTATCCTTTGAGAATGTCTTGAAAGAGCTAGATGTCTTTCGTAATATTTTGAAGCGCTTGAATGAAGACCGAGTCATCTAAAGAGTTATCCGCTCTTGATTTCCTTTTAACTAGTTATGCGTTTCGTCTTCTTAAAGTTGAGGTGTTTTCCAGTCTTTCATGCAGGACTGTTCTCTAGGATAGATGTGCTGCCGGGTAACTCGATAATTAGGTAAACGATTGCGATTCTGCTGCGCTTCTAGTCTCTGGAACTCTGTTTCCTCAAAATACATACGAGGATATTCTACCCTATTCGAGTGCTTCTGGTCTGCGTAGTTTTAGCTCCAGTCCATAGTCTGTATCCTTTCCGAAAGGTTTATGGATTCTATTTATGATGAAGAGCAGCACCGAGGCCGCTCCAGAAAGAGGGTCGCAGAAGGTAGTTTAGAGTACAATGGGTAGTGTAGAGTACCACTGTTTCCAGGTTGGTGAGCGAAAGGGGTTCCGATGGAACTAATTCATCGTTATCTTTCTCTCTTAATGGAATCATGAACCCAATCGCGACGCGCGCGTGATTGCAATAGCAGAGTCAGGAGATTTTTCTTCAATAAAATTTGAGTGGATGGAGATTTCCTCTGCCCAGGGCTGGCGTAGATGAATGAGGGTATGAAGATTCTTTTCAGGAAAGAAAACTTTCCAAATTCCATTTGAAACACGGCAGCCACCGGTGGATACCATTGTCCCGAGTGAGATCTTTGGCAGCCACCGGTAGTTGCCATTGGGTTAATCCCATCCAGACCAGATCTTCTAGGCCAAATCTTGATTGCATGGCTTCTGTTGTGATTTAAAGAGCTCTAGTTTGTAACTTTCAGGTGTAATAGCCTCAAACTCGATTCGTGAGCCTTATTTGAAAACCAGGAACTTTGCCTTTCCGTTATTAACGGATAATCCATGCCATGAAAGTCTGAGCTTGGATGAACCCTTTTCGCTTATCTCTGCTCTGCAGTAACCGCTTATCGGCTGCAGAGAGAATTTTAAGATTCTAAAGGAATATCGGTGAAAATACAGCTTCCGATAAAGAACTGTTCTGCAGTTGAAGCTCGCTCCTAGAGGATCTGGGAATGAACTAGTCAGGAGCGTCTTACTTACCGAAGATTTCTTCAGTTGTACTTGTTGGACAGTTCTTCAACTTTTCACGGAATTTCCTCGTCATACTGATGGTCCGTGAACAATAATCTCTCACTGTTCGATCGATTGATGAAACCCCCTTCGGGTGGACGTGCCTGTCTCTGACTCTATTTTCGTGTGCTTGTCAGGCCACCTCCGCTTCTTCATGCAAACTGTCGTTTATTTGGATTTTAGACTCTTCCGGCCTTAGTAGGCAGAAAAGCCGTAATTTCTACCATAGCACTTGTTTTTGAAAATTTTTAACGCAGTTCTTGAAAGAGACAATTTCAGAGCGTGTCTGGAATGGATTTGAACGCGGAACTCCAAATCAAAACCGAACCGTACAATCCGTTGGCTCCAAGTCCAGCGTTCCTCCATCCTTCCATTATGGGGTAAGTTTAATGGTTTAAGCTTTTGAGTGCTCCTGAAATACTACTATGCGATTTTCTACGGCAATGTAAAGTTGCTTTAAGGAAGTGTTTCTAAAGACTGTTCTCGACTTAGCTTACTTCCGTACCCTTTATTTAAAATCCTTTTTCACAGCCTTCCTTTTCATCGCTTGTAATCAGAAGGCAATTTGTCAATTTTTCAAAAGTCCCTCCAGGGAACAAAACCCAAAGTCAATTTCGAGTTCCCAGGGAGAGACTGGATTTCACGTAGGAATACCCGTCGCCTTTGATCAAAATCTTGACAATATTTTTCCAGCTTTTTTTCCGCTTTGCTACGGCATCCTCTTCTGATCCTCTTCCCTCTTCGTCTTCCTCGTCCTCCTTCCATTGCCAATATCCTCTCATTCAAGGAGAATAGTCTTGATCGATCATAACTCTTCTATCACTGCATCCCAGTCGTGTGTCTGTTCTGCTGTGTGCATCTCTTTCGTACTGTATTTCGCCGAGCAATTCATAATTCGTGGCTGATTCATGCACGTCTTCCGGCGCGCCGGACTGAATGAGTCGAGCGCATTGGCCTCCACATTGATTACAGAAAAACCGAGCTGTGTTGTTGATTTGGGAAGCTGATTGGAGGAAAAGTGCAGAGGGTTGGCGAGCCAAACCTATCTGGGTGAAAGAAGGCACCCCGAAGAGGATTCAGAAAGGGTGATGAGAGGTTGGCACAGCGTCCCTCTCATTACCTTTTTCGAATCCTCGTTGGGAAAGAAGTCCCAGAGTTACGAAATAGATTTTCAAGTCGGCTAAGTTAACGACGTTACCGAGCCAAACGGTAATACTCGACTTCCTCCTTGGAAACTAATCTAGCCGTGTCAGAGATTAGCCAGGTGGCCAAAGGCGCGATTACTGGCACGATCTGAGGTTTCCGCTGGATCATCGGCTGAGCAGATGCTAATCACCTTCAGATTACAACTGTCAGCTTTGTGTAATTTATTTCTGTTTTCAGAGAAATAGTAGGGATTGCATTGAGATGTGGTTCAAGCAAAAAGGCAACCTTTCCCGGGCACGAACGAAAAAAGTACCGTAGCATTCTTCCGCTTGGGACCGTGTGGCCTCGCGGAATGCCTTGAAAGCCTGACTGCTCCATTCCCCTCTCTATAACTCGCTCACAACTCTGAGGTCTCATATCGATTTCTGTATCCAGTAAAAAAAGGGTGCCTGCGTAGCTCGCATGGCGAGGATCGAACCAGTGAGGATAACAGACAGTTCGTATTGCAGAGCGCCTGTTAGCTTCAGGCCATATTACATAAGAAAATTCACCATCAATCATAAGTTTTCAGGCTGAACCCCTTACAATGCGACTTTATGCCACCTCAACCAGGGCCGTTTGGCCAACAGCCGAATCCGTTCTCACCGCAGGCCGCGCTGTTCTACGGTCAACAACCGCAGTTCAGCCAGGCTGCTACCGACACCCGTCGTGGAAGCCACGGAACAACAAGGTGAGTGAGTCACAACATCCATCTAGAGAAGTGAAAACGATGGATAGGAGACGGAGGTCTGAAGACGCCATTGGTGAAAAGACATCACAGGCGATCTCTTGTGCGCCAGGAAGAGTGGTCGGACCGCCTCTCGACGCACGTCCACCAATGACGTCTCCGAAATACCTCCGCCTCCCAGCCATCGTGTTCACTGCCTTTAAGTTCTTCTTTTTTGTGAGCGTCCCAATAGGTAAGTAGCACGACTAATGCAGAGGGGCGGTTCAGATTCTCAATCAATCGTGGACGTGGTGATGATGGTGGCCGGTTGTCGTGGCTGATGCGTTAACGATGAAAAGATAAATGGATAATCAATGATAAAATAGTAGAAGGAATAACAAGAGGATGATACATATGAATCGATCGATTCCAACGGTATGATCCTCATTTGCAGTTCGAGTTCGGCGGGCAGCCATACTGGCACGCCGTCTCCGCATCATGGCCCGCAACCGCCGCCGCCATCGCCGGCCCAAGCCTATCACTTGTTTCGATTCGGCAGTTGGTAAGATTACTCCTATTGCTATCTTTATCAGTTACTATGTTGGGATAGCCTCGCCTAGTCAACTCTTGCCTAGGGCTTTGTTTAGGACCCAATCTTGGCCCCGATAGAGGGTTTGGTTGGGGTTATGTCTGTGACGGGGCTAGTTTGGGCTTGAGCGAGAAGCTTTCTGAGCATTTTGATCCAGGTGGAGTTTTACAGAAAAATAGAGGCGAAAATAGCTCACATTTTGTATAGCTCAGAATTCACGAATGAAACCAATCAATATCTATGATACCTGCTCTCGTTTCCTATTCTGGTCTTATTCTCAATCATCCTCAGTATGAGCGACTATTCAGCATGTTACCGCAAGGGTTTGACTTTCCGACGGCTTCCACTGCTGCAAGGGCAGCGATCGAGGAAGACTCAGAGAAAGTGTGTGCAGTGTGTGGCGATCGAGCAGTCTGTTTCCACTATGGCGCAAGGACTTGTGAAGGATGCAAAGGATTCTTCAAGGTAGTTATATAGTCCATCTGACTGTATTTCGTGAATTCAGGAGGTAGAGTATCTTACGCGGAAGCATCGAAAAATTGGCGCTTAGTTGAACCCCTTGACTTCGCAGAAAACATTTGTAGCTTGAATTGTTTTCAGCCAGCTTTTTAGCCTGAAATGAAAGCGATGAAGCCCTCGACTTTCAATACTTTTTTTTCATTCTCGAAGATGTAGTGATGTCGATTTCTATATAGTATCGTCGAGGCATTGGAATCAGTAATTTGCGGATTTTGTGCTACGGGAGTGTTCAAAGGGGTCAACGGAGTGCTGGTTCGACACTGTTTCAAGGAATTCTAAAGGCAGTGAGTGAGATAAATTAGCCGACCCCCAGGGGAGTACATATATGTGCCACTGAAAACGATAGCCAGGATTCGAAGCTTGTGGCATTTCCACGGTTGAAAGTGCCCTAGTAGTAGTGACACCGTCAGGCTTCATACCTGAAGGCCCTACGATGTCGCCCCGTCTCTTAGTGGGGTTATTGAAGTTCGCCATATCGTCCTCGATATCTTGGTTTTCATTTCAGGAAGTATTTCTTTATCAAATGGCCATATCATTAAATCTTGTTGTATCGTATCAAAATATCCTTATCTAAAAGCCACTTTTAACCAGGGTTAACCTTCCCTTCGCACTATTAGAACGAGGGAGTCGCATCAGTGATCTTTTTTCGAGAGGGGTTGCATCTGGGCTTAAGAAAGGTAAGCCGTGCTGGAAGAGTGTGTATGGGGAGCTTGTAGTTTCGTTAGCCTCCCTATCCCTCCTCCTGCCCCGCTCGACGGCCCTCCCAGATAATTGGGCGGAAAGTTGGCTTTTGTCGAATAGAATCAGATCATGAGCTATTCATGATGACTATGGTGGTCCGTAAACTCGGTATGAAACCACAGGCTGATTGTGGATGGTGGGGTTCGCAAAATTTTGAAAAAGTAAGCAAACCGACGTTGAATTCTTACCTTGACTTGCCAAATCAAATAAAACACAAGGGCTTAATTTCTCGAGCTTTTATCATTTGTCTTCCAGTTTCTGCTTAGTTATTACGTACTTACTTAGAATACTTAGACGACCCGTCCATCAGCACGGCGGTTGGCCTTGCGCGGGTCCCAACTTCTTCTCCATTGTTCTCGATCTTGGGCTATGGTTGTCCAGTGTGTGGTCACCCTAAAGGACGGTTATATAGAGTGAGTATGATCCGCCGGGTAAGAAGACCGCCTTCGCTGTTTCTTCTCGATCTGCACGAATCTAATTACCATCGCACAGTCGCGAACTCCATGTCGTTATCTCTTTCATCAGGTGCCGGCGACTTACACGGGAAGAAAACATTCTTGACTTATGACATGCACTAAGTCGGAATTTATGAATTCTAACTCTCGGGCGAAACTTACTCAATCCAGAAGACGCTTACAATGATAAACCATTTTACATCTTAAATTTCTTATTGATGAACATCAAATTATCGTGCTCACTGCCTTTATGGATCTTTCTCCGCTCCGTAGAATAATATTATGTGAAAATGCAAGTGAAAAATACCCTGAAACTTTTCCTTAGTGGAATGTGTGGCGCGACTTACTTTCCTAATGAGAGGTTTAGAATTACGTAATCTAAGTTGCATAAACATCCTCCTCTTAAGCACATGCGAGTACCAAATACTGTACCTATCATATATTGACTGTAGTCGATCAACGACCCATCAGGAAATTTCTAGTGGGGTAGAGGGGAACGGAAAAGGGTGGTATTCGTTTGACAAAGAGATCTTTAGAGGGAAGCCCGAGTTTTTCAATGACTTTCTGAGGCATAGAGGACGCTTGCTGTAGGTACAGAGCATGTTGATGGCGCGATACGCTTCGGATTACAAAAAGGTATAGCACTGTTAATGTCGATCCTCGATTGACAAATAAATTGCATTCGTTTTGACATTAGGTTGGTGCCAAAGGTGCTAATTCGGTTAAGCCGCATTCTGTCAGGACCGTTTGGAGGAACAACTAGGCAACCTTGATGCAAATTATCGCAGGGGGATCGACCATGAGGTATTATCACTCGTTTGGTAGACTGAGACCATCAGCGAAAATGAAACATGTGTATGGTAACAACATCCATTTATGCAGAAGCGTTTTGTAAAAGCGCGGATTGCCTCGAAAAACCCTGCGAGATTCCTGAATGAATTGAGGGAAGGGATGATCGTGGGATATCGCTTCCTCAAAAGTGATTTGGTCTCTGCGAATTGCCTAAGCATACTCTGTTTTATACCAATGCTCTGAATGAGAAGTCAACATATAGCTAAATATAATTTGTGAGAGGCGACTCTGCGAGGAATGTGAGCTTAGAGTAAAAGTTTCTAAATGCCAAGCTTATATTTGCAGAAACAGTCCAGAAAATGTCAAAGACGCATCGATTAGCGGCCAATCGAAATTGTACCGTCGAGAAGCGGTATCGATCTCGATGCCAATTTTGTCGATTTCAGAAGTGCCTCAGTGTCGGAATGGTGAAAGAGAGTGGGTTTTTCGTTAGACAAATTTCATTGTGGTTATTTTTCAAGGTTAACACACAAATTTGGCACTCGGTCAATAGCCTTTCTTTGGTTTAAAGTTTTGAGGACTGTCCCAAGTGTTTAAACAAATTATGACCATCATGCTTGAAAGATAGAAGAAAAACATAGAAAGAGCATTCCTGAGCTCTACATTTAGCGGCTTCCTACATAGCGCTGAAACTTGTGGAAATTTAACTGGATACGGTAACATTCACAGCAAATGTGGAGGGTGCGACTCTACCAAGTTGACCAATTGTGCGCGCAACCGTAGCGCTCGGGTACCTGACCTACACCTGAACGCTTTCCTTCAGTACGAGAGCTTTCTTAGAACCACTTGATCGATGATGGACTTCTTTTCTAATCAAGGTCAGTCTAGTTGGGGATCCCACATGGCTCGAAAGAGAGACGGGTCTCAAAGTGGGTTCCACCATAAGATCGGAGGTTGGCGAAGGGGAAATATACCAAGTCGAAAGGAGGGCAGGTTCTCCAAGGGTGCAGGACATTGCGCGTCTCGCACCTGAGAGTATGCCCCCAGCGACTTAGGTGGGCCGTACCTGCTCTACTCGCGTCTCTGCACGCCAGCCGATAGGTAACCCCTTGCCGTCTAACCGGAACGCTCCGTTCTATTTACGGAGTTTTGGTGTGTTTCGTTTCAGTAAGCCTTTCTGTGCATAGTGTAGCAAAACTTCGTTGATAGAAATTGAATGGCGTTTTCATTTTCAGTCGTTCGGCACGGTTCGCTGTCAGGCCGACGAGGTCGGCTGTCATCGAAAACGAAGAGTCATCGTGGTGACGAACAGCCCAGCCCTCCGCTCCCTCTTCTGGCGCTCATCGTTCGAGCTCATGACGCTTACAAGACAACACCCACGCCCCTCAGATATGTGAGAACATTTGCTCTTACCTTGAAAATACGAAATGTTACTGCTCTTGTCATCGGTAAAAGCACTTAACCGCTCTTTGGAATCGAAAACTTAATCGCCTCACTTTTATAAAAGTGCTATCGGAGATTCATTGAAACAAAGGGTTGGTAATCTCTTAGAATGTCGCTCACTTCTTAATCCTGTACCATTTTAGAAGCATCTTCTGTTAAGGACAAATACGCCATCAGTTATTTGTGAGAAGGTTAATATCAGTTTAGCGATGAGTTGAGGGACCGGCTGAAAGTTCAGCGGACCAGTACGACTCACTCCAACAGGCCTCGGCGTGGTTCATAACCCGTACCAAGGGTTGCTAAAGAGAGTGTGGAACCTGAGGAAGGTCGAAAAAGATGCAAAAAGATGCGAGCTTTCATACATATATTTATATTTATATTTATGGACATGTTAATGGTATTTGGATGTAACATTCATGTGGGCTCCTGAAAGTACCAGTGATAACGAAGAATTAGTTGGGAATCGTGAAAAAATCAAAGACAAGGTTGTTCTCTAGGCTGTTGGACGAGTTGCACCGGTAATATCGGACGACTCGAAGACTGCACGAAACAAAATATGCGCGAATTGTGCGAATAATTTTAATACGAGGTTTGAAGTCAGTAAACTAGTCATGAAAATGGGGAGCGAGTAGTTTTTGGTGCCTTCAATGGGTAGCGGGCATCGTTTGAGAGGGTATGCGAGCGAACCAATCACACCTACAGCGCAGCGAGTAGTCTCGTTACACCACTGACGGCCATTGACGTCATCTCAAAAGTAGCCATTGGAATTTCACTGCTTTTCATTCGTAGGTGTTACTCAAACTGGCTACTGATTATCTTGGCATTACCATTTAGATTGGAGACGGTTCTTTTTTGATCTTTTAAATCGCCCGCTATCACAATGAGGCAGCCTGTCGACAACTGTAGCTGGACACTGTTTGATGGCCAAAGTCATAGTTTGGAATCAAGTCGAATTATGTTTAGCGAATCGCTGGATCGAGCGTTGCGCCAGCGAATCAAAACGTTGCACCAGCGAATCGACCGATGCACCAGCGAGTCGAACTATGTACCAGCGAGTCAACGATTGTACCAGCGACTCAATAGTGGCGGGACCCAACGTTCAAAGGAAGCCCGCTTACTCTTCAAACGGTGTCACGCGACAGTGAAAGCCTTTTTGAAAAGGCGGGACTTGACAGGGCACTATTTAGAAATGGCGGACTTCCTTTAAACCTTGGGTCCCGCCATTATAGAATCGCTGGTACATCGTTCCACTCTCTGGTACATAGTTCGACTCGCTGGTACGTCAAGTTCGCTGTGCAAACGTTTGATTCGCTGGCGCAACGTTCGGATCCAGCGATTCGCTCTAGCGAATCGCTCGATTCGCAAACTATGACATCGGCCTAAACCCTCCGAGGCTTTTCGATGAAGAGCGTCGCCTTCTCAGAGGGACGGAAAGAAACAGATTTTGGAAATGTTAGAGAATTTTCTCGTTGAGTCATCCTTTCAACAAATGTATTATCCTCCAGGCCCCAGCCCTTGGACGCGATTTCGAAGTGTATAGGAGAGATAATTTGGATGTGCCTAAGCATGAGCAGGTTCAATGACGCTGGAAAATTCATCGTCGTTAGAGGCGACCATGTTCGAGTGCTTCCAAAGGGTTGTCCAATTCCATAATGTTCCACCACACGGTTTACCGTATTCTGCCGTTTTAGATTGATATTGGTACAAGATGCCTTTAACTTGACTCATTTCACCAGTTAAACGAGACTATCAATACTATCGGCTAGTTCATTTAGGGACGTAGAATTGCCATCACGCCTTTCGTTGTCTTTTTTCGCCCATTTGAGTGGGCGCGCTTCTGCGGTGAGGTGCCATGTCTCGGTATTGGTCGCGCCGTTTCACGATGGGGAACGTTTTCGGGGCGTGTTGATATTGAAAAAGAAATCAGGGACTTTTTGATTAAGAAAAAATGTTATAGAAAGCTACAACGAAAATTAAGACGGTATCGCGGGGCATTTCGCAAATAGGGATTATAGGGACGGTGTGATCCTGGATTGGGTCACGCCGTCCACGCAGTCTCGATCGGATTCAATTGCGACCCTACGGTTCTGAATGGGAATGAAATGTGTGGTGCACACACAGAAAATGACTTATCAACGCAGGAAGCTTTAAGTATTGTTCAATCGCAAAGTGCCTTCAGATACTTTTTTAATTTACTACAGCCTGTCCATCTCACTCGATGAAAAAATAGAATTGATTTTCAGGCCACTATGACGTCCGACCATGTGGTGAGCCTTCTGGAAAAAGAATATCAGGCCATCCAACTATTTCGTCTCCAGTATGCCGCACATAGAGAGCTAGCCGAGGCGGACATACCGAAATTGTTTTGTCAGACGCTAGTTTGCTATGTAATGGCTGTTTAGACATTGCTATCGGTCGTATTAAGTAGGTTGGTAACAGTTTTTCATTTACTTTAGCGCTTACATTGAAGCACATTTTGGCGTCGTGGTAGGCGTGGGTAGTGTGCCCTAAAATGAAAGTAGATGCAGTCGTTGGTCGATCAGTAATGAAATAAAAAACTGAATGGAAATGCTATCAGTCCTTGAAAGCAAGGATCACGATGGAATTGGTGTGACATTCCTCTCGCAATGGGGAAAGGAGGTGAGAAAAGACCGTAATGAGAAGAAATTGCAGCGAAAGGAACTACGAGAATTTTCTTTCGAGGTCTATTGTTGCATGACGAAAAGACACAGCGTGGCGACGAGAGGGCATGCGTGAGAGAGCGTTTTGTGAGAGAGGGCGACAGGTACGAGCTGTTTTGCGATTGAGTAAAAAGTCTAACAGCAGTTGCAGGGTGGTAAGGCGCAACGTCTTAAAGTCCTCAACATACTTTCCATCGCTACAGTGCCATGGTTCCAGTGCTCATTATCCCTATTACCTCACCCACGGGGAGAATTGCTTCAAGGAGCTAATTACAGCCTGTGCTGAAGAACTGCACGCTGAGTAAAAGGAAGCATCACTTCGAATTGCGTAGGACAGTTCCCATTTCATAGGCCTCTTCACTTGTGATGCGGAGGCAAAGGAGCATCATTGGATATGGGCACTAGTTTAAGCGGCCGTGCCCACATGGCGGTGCTTTCGAAAGCTCCTGTTAGTTTCGCTCGGTTTCCGCATTGTTGCCTGACCAGCCTCCACATCGGGTTTCATTTCTAGACACAGAAGCCACACCTAAGGTAATCATGGAAATTCCGATTTCACCTCGCGTTGTTCTTGGTGCTGCCTCTAAATTAATAAACGATCACTTGCGGTTTAGAATGGCTGAAACCGAGGTGGTGTTTGAGTGCGGCTCACGCGTACCGTTGCCCAGCCTTCCATCTCCATTCATCGCTTTTTTCCGACGAGTCGCTGAGAAAGCACCGGGCTTCAAAACCGTCGTTCGATTGGGAACCACAATCCTATTGTGCATTACAAGCGATGCAGTTCTTCTCGGGTAATACTGGTGAGTTTTCGATTTTGAGTTCTAGCGCAGTGGGCTAGCAAAGCAAACAACCTGCGGTTGTGAGATCCCAGAGACCATAGTGCGCTCCCAAGGGTTAGGACCTTCCCTCAACAGTAAAGGCACTAGTGGAAGACGATAGTCTAAGGTGTTCCACACCCTTCGCATGCTCCTGGCAAATTGTGTTCCGCCTTTGGTGAGCCATAAAATACAATTCGGAATTCAGCTAGTGAATTTATCTATAATAAAAACCTCTGAAGATGGCCAAAATCACTGCAGCTGAGGCCTGACGTTCCTTTCGAAATTCTTACCTAACTTGAAAATATGGTGAATCGACAATAATAGAGATACTTCTCCATTTCTAGCAAGTCCTTTCGAAGTTATATTTTTCACTGATCTTGAGGCGTCATGTACGGTGGAGCAATTTCTTCGTTTTCCCCATGAGTGAGCTGTGTGGGCCATAAAGGTCATTGAAAACCTCCGGGCAAAAATTATATGAATTCACGATGATAAGGAGCTCTTAAGAAGCTAATTTACTAGACTGGCGCTGGATTAATGAAAGGTCAAAGCCAAGGGAAGCCATGGAATTTAACCCGTTCAATTTCACGTGTTCGACACGCTTACACGTGTTAGCTCTCAACCGCTGCCATTTATGACAGTTTTACGGCGGGAATTCGAATTACTTGATCACCTCTACATCGCGTTTTATCGTTGATTATGAAGATATCGCGCATGCCATGAAAACGAAGAATACGTATGCCTGATTACGGTTGTTCGTTTTTTTTTTTGAAAAGTTCGTTTCTATGAAAAGGCTGCTTGGACATGTTTTTGGAAGTGGATTTCTGACAAACATTGCCGTCTCCATATTGTCCCTATTTGGACCTCGGCATTACTGGTTGAACTGTTTCATTCTTCTGTGCCACGCAAGGTTGATAATTGGAACATTCATTAACTGGCCTGACCTTCCAACCTTTTCGTCTTCTTCAGAGGCCTGAAAACAGCTCGAACTTTTAATTTGTATGC